ATATATACAAACACATGTACCTGCACACGTATACCTACGAAAGTGATATATAGCACAATACTTTGATAACATTGAAATTAGTTTCCTACAGAGATGATGATATTATAAACACAGTTTTATAGATACATGTTCAATATTTACAAACACATGTTCGACACTTATTTATTTATGTCTAGTTTTTTGTATATTATTTCTTTTTCGTTACCATAGACAGATTTTATTTTTAGAAACATAGAAACAAATGCATGTCCATGCATACCTCTATTAAAGTTATATATAGCAGAATACTTTTACAGCATTTAAATAAGTTTCAGCATTTCAAACAGAGATACAACATTTTATATATAAACCTGTTTCATATTTACAAAGGAATTTAGGACACGTATACTTTTTTGTTTTCATTTTCATAGACTTACACAACACAATGCCGACATACCGACACATTTAAAGGGACATCAAGTGAAGAGCCATATTTTTTTTAATGAATGTTTGTATGCACTTCCACTTATGTTACCTCGCTATCCCCATATTCATAGTCCGTTCCAAATGTCCAGTTTGACCGGGAAAGCCCTGCCAAAAATAGCGGCGATAACGTCACCTGACTAGGCAGTAAACACGAGCGGTATGGGCGAGATGAAACGGTTTCCAAAGGGGCCCCTAGAGAGGGGCGTCAGGCAACTGCAACTTCTTACCGCACTATGAAACCAAGTAATATGAAATCTAAGTCCGTATTAAAACTTATTGAACAGTAGTTATTCATCATCAGAAGTTAATTGTACACTTGCCAATATTCAGAATTTAAATTTATTTAGCTTTAAACATATTTGTTGCCAATAAAATTGAACAAGGGATGGGGCACACGTTTTTACATTTTATCGCAGCCTTCTCCCGTCATACATTTTCAATTAAATGTCAACATGATAATAGGCATAAACATAAAGTATATATATATATAAATATATATTGAATTTAGTACCGGAATGTGACATCTGTACGGGGCTAAACACCTTTCTTCAACCATGGGACAAACCTTTCTGTAAAAAGGAATATTCACGAGACGAATATCCCTTTTCAAATGTTTTCATAAAGTGCATTTATGCAATGACAAACTACACGCGTATAAAATAGAGAAACGTTTGTGAATTTTTTTATTACATCGTACAACTCAATATCTTTGGCCAATTTCTTTTTCTATACCATGCATATACATCTATGTATACTCTCTTTCCCACTTTCACTGTCTCCATACGCTAACACTTAGTAAGTCATATTTGCCATCACACACACTAAACTGTATGGCAAAACCACTACGTGTACATGTAGAATATGTGTCAGATATGGGACGTGTTGTGCTACTTGATAATTAAATGTTTTCAATACTTTTCATAAATTAAAGCATTTCATTTTTGTCCGAAACAGAAGCCGTAGTTATCGGCAGCACGCGTCAATTTTACAACGTAAACAAACGTTTCTTACGCTGCTTTCAATACGTATTCCGATTCTATCTAAAGTCAAAAAATAATTCTTTATAGAGAAAAGGTATGTTACATGATTATACATTCTAAGTCAACGACATATGAAAACATGAACTGTTGAAATATCACGATTAAAAAAAAAAAATGTTACGCGGTCCTATTTACTAAAAGTAGGTTCTCCTTCCTCAGTTATTCAACCTGGACCGTCATTTTGACATTTTTAATCTAGCTGCGATAATGAAGCTTTCTGACGACGAGAGATTTCTTTTATATATTGCGTCGTTGCGCCAGAGGAAGCCGGGTATTCATATTAGTACTAATTTAAATCTTGTATGTAAAAACAAACAAGAAATCGTTTAATTCAGCAATATAATTAAATCATACCATTTTACTGCACCCGGTAATATTATAAATTATGTGAATCTAAAAGCGCACGTATCTCATTTGACCCCGATCACGAGTACCGACAGAGACAGAATACGCCGTGGCTATCACAACAGTAAACCCTTGGAGGGCCTCACGACAAAATCAAACTGCCCAGTTACTTATCCTTCCTTTGACATTAGTTTTGTCATTTCTAACAGAATTCTACAACAGCTTATACATATACCTGTTCCATATTTACAAAGAAATGTTAGTTATAATTTTATTATTTTTATTACCTTTTGACATTTGGTTTTATTTGCACAACCGTTAACGACACATTATCAGTATATACACATATTTTACATTGTTATACAAACACTCAAGTACCTACATACAAACGTGCATACCTGTACTTCTAATACAGTGATAGAAAGGTCAATTCATACCATTTTTGCACATAGGAATGAAAGGAGCTTATTTCCATTTAAAAAAAAATCATTTTCATAGAAATACACAGGACACTACCAACATATAGACACATTTAACATAGTTAAACAAATAAACACATATCTACCTACATACACCTATTAAAGTGATATATAGGACGATATTTTGATAGCTCTGCAATAAGTTTGATAATTTGAACAAACAGAGGTGAAATTATTCTACAATAATTTTTATATATACTTATTCAATATTTATTTTAATTTTCATGGACAGAAAAAAATCAATACAATAACTACATGCATGCATCTTTAAAAAGCAACTGAATTCTACTCTATCGTTTTAACATACAGAGATGAAAATATTCTACAACGGTTTTGTATACAACATTCTACATGACAAAGAAATGATAGAAACTTGTTTATTTTTTTTGTATTTCATTTTCATTTTTTTTTATTAGCTCTGCAATAAGTTTGATAATTTCGGACAAACAGGGGTGAAATTATTCTACAATAATTTTTATATATACTAATTCAATATTTACAAGAAATGTTAATTGTATATTTATTCATTTTTATATATCTTGTTTTTTCATTTTAATTTTCATAGACAGAAAAAAATCAATAAAATACCTACGTTCATGCATCTTTAAAAAGCAACTGAATTCTACTCTATGTATTTGAAGCATTAATTTCTCTCCCGTGCTATTGGAGTTCAGTAAGTGTGTTTCTTGTCTTTACAAAGGTTGATAACAACAAAGGGTGGCATGGCTAATGATATTATTTGTAATAGACTTTTGGAGTTCAGTAGTTTTGCCTATAAGTATAGTGTCCTCTTTAATTCTACATAAATTACCATACGAATGCCGTTAAGCGATACATTTATACGTCTTAAAGTAATCAAGAAGTTATTACTGACGTCGCTCGACGTCAGTAATAATTTCAGGATTACTTTAAGACGTTAATTGTATATTTATTCATTTTTATTTATCTTGCTTTTTCATTTTAATTTTCATAGACAGAAAAAAATCAATAAAATACCTACATTCATGCATCTTTAAAAAGCAACTGAATTCTACTCTATGTATTTGAAGCATTAATTTCTCTCCCGTGCTTTTGGAGTTCAGTAAGTGTGTTTCTTGTCTTTACAAAGGTTGATAACAACAAAGGGTGGCATGGGTAATGATATTATTTGTAATAGACTTTTGGAGTTCAGTAGTTTTGCCTATAAGTATAGTGTCCTCTTTAATTCTACATATATTACCATACGAATGCCGTTAAGCGATACATTTATACGTCTTAAAGTAATCAAGAAGTTATTACTGACGTCGCTCGACGTCAGTAATAATTTCAGGATTACTTTAAGACGTAAAAATAATACTTTATTACGTATAAATGTATCTCTTAGATACCTAACCCTATGAGCAAAGAGTTCTAATTGTTTTGATTTAAGACGGGTGAATTCAAACGTTGGAAATGAACTGGACATTTAATAATCCTCTGATCTCTGGGCAGGAATAAACTGGACATTTAATAATCCACTTACCCGGACATTTAAATCGCCACCTGAAACGCTGTCGTACGTTTTGGTTTTTGATCGAATGGTATTATTGATAATTTTTATTGTATTTAATGGTCGGTGTGCTTGTGTTAGGTTTATTGATTTTTCGTCTTAGGTAAAAATTGGCGATGGTTTTCGGTCTCGTGTTTTAATGAAATGTTTCAAGTTTATTTAGTGGTGTCTCTGTAATCAGGATTTTATGTATAGTATTGATAAAATAAATAGCTGGTACAACATGTACAGTTTCGCTCTGTGAATCTTTCAGTTATAATCCTCTGACAAGAACATTTAAATCGACACCCGTACGTTTTGGGTTTTGATCTCATACAACTTCCCGCGGTTTTTGGGTAGCATTTGTTTTAGATTTGGCGGGAGTGGGTTTATACAGGGAGATTGTGTGTATTTGTATGTGGTTAATTTGAAATGATTGTTTCTTACGAATAGGTATGGGAGAATGTTGTTGTTTTTGTATGTGGTTAATTTGAAATGAGTGTTTCTTACGGAAAGGTTTGGGAGAATGATGTTGTTTTTGTATGTGGTTTCTTTGAAATGAGTGTTTCTTACGGATAAGTTTGGGAGAATGATGTTGTTTCTGTATGTGGTTAATTTGAAATGATTGTTTCTTACGAATAGGTTTGTGTGTATGATGTTGTTTTTGTATGTGGTTAATTTGAAATGAATGTTTCTTGCGGAAAGGTATGGGAGAATGATACGACCTTGGAGCTGGGATCATGACTAGCGACATTTAATAATCCTCTTATCTCTGACTAGTGTCCTCAAATTGTTCGAGAAATGTTTAGCGCGCTTTATTATTTGGCGCGGTTTTCAAAACGGCAGGGAAAGCACCCGGTGACTTCAAGGGTTCCAGAGAAATAAACTAGACATTTAATAATCCTCTTACCCGCACATTTAAATCGCCACCTGAAACGTTGCCGTACGTTTTTGGTTTTGGGGTGGGGTGGCAGGAAATGTTTTTCCGCGGTTTTGGGGTGGCGGTCAATTCACGCGGTTTTTGGTTTGGGTGGCGGGAAATGCTTTCCCACGGTTTTTGGAGGGGCCGGAGGGGGGAGGGGCAGTTGCCCCATCTCTTTACCCCTACTTATGTCACGTTCATCATCTCAAAGTTCCATATTCATCATTCATATTAAAGGTTCAGGAAAAACAACGTTGCTGAATACTTTAGCCGGAAGGATAAACGTCACCTCAGGGGAGGTAACTCTTAATGGAGTCTCGTTTAGGAAATCACAACGTCGTCGTCTTGGTTACGTTCTTCAGGACGACGTGTTCTTGTCCAATCTAACCATGTGGGAAACTCTTTATGTAAGTTGCAGTGCTTTCTGATCTTTCAGATGATGTGAATTGATATTGATAGTAATGTATCTGAAAAAAATATTTCTCCTCTTTACCACTTTATTTAAGAGCCCAGTAGACGTTTTCATTTCTTTGATTGAATATAATAACATTTCAAAATGTTTTGTAATAATTTGGTGGATAGAAAAATGTGCATGTTTTTGTTTCAATCTATTTTTGCATTGAATATCAGTATAATAAACTTGCCATTTTTTATCTTAGTTTACAGCAATTTTAAGTATGCCGAGCTGCATTCCAATGACAAAGAAATTGGAAAGAATACACAGTATAGTGGATTCGTTTGGCCTTCAAAATTGTCTTCATACAGGTGGGTTTTGTTTGAGCATTCCAATCCGATATTGATGTCATTTGTTGGTAATAAAAAATCTTATACATGTATAATAAAATAATCAAATTTACAATCGATGTTAAAATCGCATTTAATCATGCATCATATAAGAGTGTAATCGTATCATGGCATATTTTCAAGATTTCCATCAATCATACATTTATTAATTTGTTCGTTTTGACATAAATGTTAAAAGTGTTATGCTATGAACAGGGACGGACTCGTTTCTATAGTTGTAGGAGACATTTTCACCCGCGGGTTATCAGGCGGAGAGAGAAAGAGGGCTACCATTGCATGTGAGCTTCTCCGAGACCCAGATATACTCCTCGTAGACGTGAGTTACCATCAGTTGTGAAATACGAATAATTTGTATAGTCCTCTTGTTTTATTGTTGATCATTTTCAACGTTCATAGAAGACATACCATGTGATTATGCTCACGTTTGGATTTTGACATCATTGCATTTTTAATTAGACTTTTATTTGCATATCAGACGATTATTTTCACAATTGTAAAAATAATTTTGTACTTTTTTCACTGAGTAAAAACATCTTCTAAATTGGGCGAATATACAATATTCATTGCTGGTATTCCGGATTCAGCTAGCAACCCAATATTGTCATTTATGGCGCGATATAGAATGATAATTCTTTTTGTTTTTTGCTCCGTTGAACCTGATTGTAACTCCATTTGAATAAATACACATTTTGACCAGGAGCCAACATCTGGTTTAGACACGAGTGCTGCACACAACCTGATGGTACAACTGAAAAACTACGCTACACAACACAAGAAGATTATAGTGACCACCATTCACCAGCCCTCCAGCCAAGTATTCCTTATGTTTTCAACCTTACTGCTCCTAGTGGAGGGACAGGTATTTACGGTTTTATATAATGATTTCTTATGAAAAGGTCCACAGTAATTTTCAAATACCTTGAAATATTTCTTCCATGCATATAAATATATGGCAATTACCTCAAATGATTAATATAAACATCCCTAACAGAATTCTTTAAAAGTGTGGATATTTTTTTAGAAAGGCGATAAGACACCTGAGATAACTCAACTGGTTCATTAAAGGTACAACATAGTTAGCATTTACGTCAAAAACAGTGATGGTTTAGGATAAAAAGTAAGTAATTTGTGGTAAAAATCTGTCTTTGATCACATGTTTGTTTTATAGTATGTGTACAAGATACAAGGTACAAGATACAAGATACTAGATACAAGTTACTAGATACAAGATACAAGATACTAGATACAAGATACTAGATACCAGATACTATATACAAGATACTAGATACAAGATAAAAGATACTAGATACTAGAAATTAGAAACAAGATACTTAATACTAGATACAAGATACAATATACTAGATTCAAGATACAAGATAATAGATACAAGATACTAGATACTAGATACAAGTTACAAGATACAAGATACTAGATACAAGATAATATATACTAGATACAAGATACTAGATACTAGATACTAGATACAAGTTACAAGATACAAGATACTAGATACAAGATACTAGATACAAGACACTAGATACTAGATACAAGATACAAGATACTAGATACAAGTTACAAGATACAAGATACTAGATACAAGATAATAGATACAAGAAACAAGATACAAGATACTAGATACAAGATACTAGATACTAGATACAAGATAATAGATACTAGATACAAGACACTAGATACAAGATACTAGATTCAAGACACTAGATACTAGATACAAGTTACAAGATACTAGATACATGATACTAGATACAAGATAAAAGATACTAGATACAAGTTAATAGATACAAGATACTAGCTACAAGATAATAGATACAAGATACAGGATACTAGATACAAGATAATAGATACAAGAAAAAAGATACTAGATACAAGATCCTAGATACTAGATACAAGTTAGAAGATACAAGATACTAGCTACAAGATAATAGATACTAGATACAAGATAATGGATACAAGATACAAGATGCTAGATACAAGATACAAGATGCTAGATACAAGATACAAGAAACTAGATACCAGATAATAGATACAAGAAACAAGATACTAGATACAAGACACTAGATACAAGATACTAGCTACAAGATAATAGATACAAGATACAAGAAACTGGATACCAGATAATAGATACAAGATACTAGCTACAAGATAATAGATACAAGAAACAAGATACTAGATACATGATACTAGATACAAGATACAAGAAACTAGATACCAGATAATAGATACAAGATACTAGCTACAAGATAATAGATACTAGATACAAGTTACAAGACACTAGATACAAGATACAGGATACTAGATACAAGATACAAGAAACTGGATACCAGATAATAGATACAAGAAACAAGATACTAGATACATGATACTAGATACAAGATCCTAGATACAAGATACTAGACACAAGACACTAGATACTATATACAAGATAATAGATAAAAGATACAAGATACTAGCTACAAGATAATAGATACAAGAAAAAAGATACTAGATCCAAGATACTAGATACAAAATCCAACGTCGCGTACAGGTTACCAAGGAACATTAGCTCTTGAGAGCTATTTTTTCGACAAACATATGTAAAAATAACGATAACATATTATATTACAAGTAAAGGGAGATAATCACATATATTAATAATAAAACAGTAATAATCACCACAGTAAAAGAAAGTATACATATCCCAGGTTTCTAAGTGATTGGGAGTCCCCTACCTACAAAGGCTCCCGGGAAATATATATAAAAATGGTGTTAATATATGAAAAGCATTAAATGTGATTACAGATAAGTAATATTTAGAATAGGTAAATAAAAGACAGTTAATAGTGAATGAATACTTGTAAATCATACAAGAATTACTTAGGACTTAGGATTAAAACACTATGAAGTGGAATATTCATACAATGCTTATATAACAAAGAATAAAAATTGACAGAATATACACTATTATAGTGTGAATTAAAAATGATACCGAAATCAATTAACAAAATTTATCAAGTTTTGTAAAAAAATATTTTTTTAGAAAATATGGAATTAAAATACAAATAAGATGCAGCAAAAATATAGAATAGAATTGAAACATATAAGAAATGAGATAAGACAATAAAAGTATCACACAATCCAAAATGTCAGGTGGCAGAGGTAACTAGGGCACAGTATGAAATATCACTCTTTGCAGATATTGCAAAGACAGATGGGGCCATCCCAGGAATGGACCAGCCTCCTGAATTCTTTGAAGTTTTCAACTTTTCTGAAGTCATTTGGGAGACTGTTCCACACCCGGGTGGTGTGGACCGGGCCCTGTGTACATATTCAATTTGTTTCAAATGATTTCACGTTCCAAGAAAGCTGACAGTTGTGCAAATAAGGATCATCAATCGACGTTATCATACTTTCGTATTGCTAAGTAGGTTATCCTCTTTAAATGACCATTGCACAACTTTGCCGGTACTTCGGAATTAAGTTTAAAATTTAACAGCAAATCAGCTGATTACGAGAATGAATGAATACGGACATAGACTTCTGCAGAAAGGTTGTATCAAACATTTCAATGTTGCTGATTTTTCGATTTCGTTAGAATTATTGTGCATTATTGCACTTATTACAAGTTCTTAAACAATAAGAGAATAAGTCGACACCCTTATGAAAAATTAACATAACCCAAACCCCTCCGATAAAACGTTTGTCTTAAAGTGGTTTTAGTACTATAAAAACATTATAATTTTGTTGGACAAGAAATTATTGTCATTGAAAATGAAAGCAATTACAATTTTAAATAACTGATCAATTGATTTCTTTCAAACCTTTTATTCTTCAGATAATCTTAGCGTAATAAGGTCAAGAGTACCATTGCATCTTTCCACTTAGCCTATTCTCCCTTCTGTAGAAGGAGTTCTTTTGGCTAAGAGTAACTTCCCCTTTCCAGTTTTTTATGTGCTTTGCGGCCCATAAATTCAATACTCATGTTGATGCTTTGTTTGTATAATTTCTAAATACCAATATTGGTAGATTGTAGGCCTTGTAATTTAATAGTTCCGAGTTCGATAGGGGTTGGTCCGGGATGTGGCCTATGCATAGCTAACAGTATCACTTACGCTAATCCATCCAGATCACGAACAAGTATATAATATAGTTTTAATTGTTGATACCTTTTACCTGAATCCACTTATCTATACTACTTCTTTGACGATATAAAACCGCATAGTTTAATATACATGTATGTGTTTTCCTGAAACATGTTTTTTTTTTTGACAAATAGCAGTTGTAACAAAAAGACAAAACAAATGTAACACGAGAAAATAGGTGAGACCAAGGATTCTAAATTACCTTCAAATGTTGATTTTCGTGCCTATTAAACTCAAACCACGTCATTTGATTTACTCAAATAGTTGAGTGGCTCATTAGAAAGTGCTCATTTCTTTTAAAAAGATGACCGAGGTTCGATTCCTTGGTAGAACGTGAAAAGGTATAATTCACCTGCCCGATACCATTGGTTTTAACAAGGAACTCTCCCGGTTTTAATACGCCCGTCGAATGACTGGACGTATTATGTTTTCACGCGGGCAGTTTCCGCTCAATAACTTGAGTAATTTTGAATGGGTTCATTTCAAACTTGGTAGGAAGGTTCATTGCCATAAAGGTTTCCGCTTAATATCTTCAGTAATTTTGAATAGATTCATTTCAAACTTCATAGGAAGGTTCATTTCTTTGAAAGCATGCAGAAGTTCGATAACCATTATCAGCCAGTTATTAAAGGAAGTTATGGCCCTTTATAGAACTTACGTAAAGGTTTCCGCTTAATAACTTCAGTAATTTTGAATAGATTATTTCAAACTTCATAGGAAGGTTCATTTCTGAAAGCTTACCATAACCAATATTATTTACCGGTTATTTACGGAGTAATGGCCCTTTGTAGAATTGCCGAAACAGTTTTCGCTCAATAACTTGAGTAATTTTGAATGGATTAATTTCAAAATTGGTAGGAAGGTACATTGCCATGAAAGCTCGGGCGAGTGTGATAACCAAAATTATTTGCCGGTTATTTATGCAGTTATGGACCTTTGTAGAATTGAAAAGTAAAATTTCTTTTAAAAAGGCGGCCGAGGTTCGATTCCTTCGTCGAACATGGAAATGTATAGTCCACCTGCTCCCGGTGTTTTCCCCACATAAAATCACAATTGGCGCTTTATGATGATGTAAATAGGTAAATTTGTATACTGAATAATCCAATCAGCTGTTCATTTCGGAATTTATCATGTATTCAAATCAATCATTTATCATGACACTACATGTTCTCATTCACCAAGGGCACCTTATCTTTCATTTGTATTTGATGATTAAGATATATAATTAACGAATCAGGGGCCCGGTTTTTTAGGAATTGGTGTAGGAGAGGTTCCTTATGAGGCATATTCTCCGATTTTGACAACATTTTATGCTTATTAAAATGTTGGAGAGGCATACATACACAATATAAAAAAGTCTTGGCTGCGTATTATTCCTTTATACTGTATATCATTATTTATATTTCTTTTTAGGTAGCTTATTTTGGCTCGGCGGGGTGTGCTCTTGACTATTTGACTAGTCTAGGGATACCATTTGAGGACGAATACAATCCTGCTGATATCTTATGTAGGTGGAGGATTGGGTTTATCGTTAACCCCATTCAAGTAATCACTAGTGAACTTTGTTGTCATATTATGTTTTAACTTCCCTTGACGAGCTGTCTGTTTTGGAATCGGTTATCGGCAAATATACCATGATACAGAATTTATCTGTATTCCTATAGGGGATTTCGTTTCAATGTTCCATAAAATGTAGTGACCATTAATTGCTAAAGCTTAAGGTGAGTGTTTGGTTGATGAGTAGAGAACAAGATATTCATTGTTGCATAAGGTGACAGATATTAATGAGAAACGATTAGGTAATTTCCGTTATATTTTCAGTTTGACCTCATGCTATGATTTGTCCTTGATTTCTCTAATCGTATGAAAGAAAACCCCAACAATTTCCGATTTGAAGACATCTATGTGTTAAATGAAAGTTTTAATTTTCCAAATATGTACTTATTTGTAACCACTTTATATAATTTTTAATTGCAGTGGAAGTGGTGACGTCACGCAATGACATCATCAGTATAATCAAACAGGCAGGCTTACATAAAAGGTACATTTTTGTAGGTACACCACGTTTATATACTAATGGTCTCGTCACTTAAATCCTCGTATCATTTTAAAGTCATGTTTCAAGGCTGTATCTGTTTTTATTTGGGCAATCGATGGTATTAATTTATCTTACAGATATAACAGTTTGTTGTCAGCCAGAAGATTTCCTCAAGGTTCTCAGTCTGATGTCGCGGAAATTCCTAAAAATGACGGTACGCTGATAATCAATATTTTTGCATTCCCAGCCCAGTTCTTCATTATGTCAAATTTTATATAACACACCAGAAAAAACGTAAATAGAGAAACAGTGACTCACCTAAAAAAAAAAGTATAGTGTTCCGCTGACTGTGTAAACGACCCATCAAATTATTGGATTTTGAGCATGTTTGTACGTGATCGTGACATACAATATGTGTATGTCGACTTCATCTCACGACAAAAATGCGCCTATTCACAGTAAATCTCGAGATCTTAGGCATAACACACGAACAGGTATGTCTGATGAATTCACTTAGAGGCGTCTGAAACATTTCAAATTCGGTTCTTTCATAGACAATATTTATTTATTTCATTTTTTAAATTATAAAAAAGTAAAGAAACAAGACATGTTAATTATCTACTGTACGGATGTATATCTCACGAACTTTATTTATTAGTCTGAAATTGCTTACATCAGGAGATAATAAGCTATCACCAGAAACTAATAATTATATATTATCTAAAGTTAAGAAATTAATTGATTTAACTAAAAGATTCATCTAACTCGAAAATGATTAGTATATTTTTATTAAATACTTACCGTTATATCAATCTGCTCCTGGTATGTGTGTGTGTGGGTNTATTAATTCAAACATATATACATATTTTCCATAAAAATGTCCATCTATTTCAATAAGTAATTAAATATCGATAATTTTGTAAATATATCTTATTATTCTGTGTAAATGTATATATGTTAATTGTACCGGTTCAGGAGAAGACTAATATAGGCACTGCTTGTTGTCTAATCCTTTTGTAAATAACAATAAAATTTGTTGAAACCAAACGAACTTTATTTAACAGATAATTCTGGCTCTGCTGTTTTGGAGATTGTCGTTGGTGAAGGAGAGAAAACTCACCGATGGCCCTCCTCATTCTGGACTCAGCTTACAGTTCTAAGCTGGAGATCTTTCAAACAGGCGAAAGGGAACATGTCGCTGCTTGATGTTGCGCTTCCAGTTGTTTTGGCCATCACGGCGTCTCTTATTTTCTTCCAAATTGGGAACCTAGAAACGTCTGCTAGGGACAAACTTGGTTTGGTACGTATTGCACAATTAACCTAACTTATCATTCATACTTTTGTTCTCCATATAATTTGTTATGACATCATTGAATTTAAAATATTTTGTAATTCAAAGTTTAGCGGCAGTAGCAGTTACTCGCTTTAGTTTGAAGGCATGTTTATAAGATAATTGGGGTTTAACACGTTACTAACGCCGCTTGTGTAATCAATTACGCATGGTAATGCTGAAATACAAATTTAAAATGCAATCGATTCAGTCTTTTAATGTTGAAACCTATCGGCTGTATCGAACTTTTGCTAATATATTCCAGGCTCAGTTGTTCAAAGGGTCATTGGTTATATTAATGTTTAACGACAATTTTCAACCTCTAATAATATGGGCAGTATACAAGATAAAAAAAAAACAACTCGTAGTACTCGTAGTTTTGCATATTATTTTACTGAATTTAAGTATTTCCTATCTGGAAAGTTTTAACTATTATAAAGATGCAAACAAGCATTGGCTAATCACCTTTAGAACAACTGGGCCCTGTTCTTCACCAAATGAACTGCATACATTGCTCAGTCTCAATATGTGTTAAAAGTAGGTCAACAGTGTCGGTGTATATAATTCACAGGTTTTCTTCACCTTTGCTTTCATGGGGTTTGATATGTCTTCAGCTACAGTTAAAGGTTGTAAGTATAAAAAATTAACATTGAATGACAGTTTACTTTTTCATTCATTGTTTTTCCACCAATGTTTTACGGTCGTGATACATGTCGAATTTCATACCATTCTACTTCCACAAAATACCTGCAAGTGTTGAATATTGCATGTTCAGCAAAAAAATATCTGAATGTTTTCCATTGGTCATCACGAAATAAAAGTGACAACGTTAAAATACACATTTGTAATTGTTTTGGTGCAATATGATATTGTTAGATGTTGTCAAGTTGGTTCTTGTCATTTTTGTAATAAAGTACTAGATTTGACGTATTGACCTGACTCCGGTCTTCTATAAAGTTTTAGTTTCTGGATCTCCCTTTGTTTTCTAATACAATGTATATATGTGAATTGACAGTTCAATGACTATATATTGTCCTTGATATTTCAACTACAGTAAATCAATAGAAATTGCAAATAAAATGTGCAGATAAATTTCTATGTTTTCGGTTTGTTGAAGTGGATGCTGAGAGAGGCGTGGTGTATAAGGAAAGGACTGCGGGTATCTACAGACTGTCGGCCTACTACCTGTCTAAGATGATCAGTGAGATACCAGTGGTGTTGGTCAACCCTGTCGTGATGGTTACCATTATTTACTGGGTTGCTGGCCTGGGTGGGGTGGATGGTTACGTCGTTTACCTCAGTATCGGGATACTGTACAACCTTATGATGCAGGTAGACATCGATGTAGTCATAAAACCTATCAGTAAATAAACATACCTCGCCTTTGAAGATAAAAGTTGATGTTACATGATATTTTACACAGTACCATCAGTGTTAAAGATTTGATCACTTTAAGTTTTACGAAAACTTACTACTGAGTTAATGTTACTATAACTTGATATTAAGACAACCTCTAACCACTACAAATACCCACCTGACAGCGTACCATAAATTCACGGTTAAGGTAAAATAAAGTTGTATTTTAGCCACAAATACACTTGTATGTTTAATTTCATTTCGAATTTCTGGAGTTGAATTGTCGTTTCAGAGTGTTGCCCTTGTCATTGGATTATTCAGCGTTGACCTTCGCTTTAATATGGGAGTCGTTATGATGTGCTTGGATGCGAGTTTCATCCTTGGTAATTATCAGAGTATTTATACTATACAGTTATTCTGCATTATTCTGTAAAGATCATTTGTGCAAATGTACATATGTATACAATATAAACAGCAATGCAATAAGTGCCAAGACAAACCATTTGGTGGAATACTGTGATGGGTGCCTTTCGGCATGGTATTTCAGTGAGGTAGCACTCTAAAGTCGGCATCAGATTCGCGCTATCGTAAAAAGGCAACTGCGTCAACATACCCTGCCTCCGGCACACATTCACACAAGCATACATACACTACACACATGGAGGCACGTCCATACATGATCTTAACTGTTAATAGGACGTTACACAAAATAAAACCGAACAAGAAAAAATGATATCGGAAATCGGAAGGAATCTATCATCGGGTCAATTCATCTTATCGTAAACACCTGTTTGAAGTTAAAAAACGTAAACAAAATATGGTTTAAATGGCTATCGTCAACAGAATTACTAACGGTTAGGACTTAAACCTATTCCCCTCGAAAATCTTTCGGAATTTCTATTATGGACAGTGATTAGGGTGTTCAGTCTTATCAAAGGAAGAGAGACAATATCCTGCCTTTGGAGAAAATATGTTTTTAAAGCACATTTTTGTACAGTTGCAAAATGAATCTCATACTTGTTATTATTGTTATATTTGCCATATAATAAAAATGGGTGGGATTAGGAGTAACATCTAACATATTTGTTATCATTGTTATATTTGCCATATAATAAAAATGCGTGGGCTTAGGAGTTACATCTAACATATTTGTTATTATTGTTATGTTTGTCATATAATAAAAACGGGTGGGCTTAGGAGTAACATCTTACATATTTGTTATCATTGTTATATTTGCCATATAATAAAAATGGGTGGGCTGAGGCGTAACATCTAACATATTTGTTATTATTGTTTTATTTGCCATATAATAAAAATGGGTGGGCTGAGGCGTAACATCTAACATATTTGTTATTATTGTTATGTTTGCCTTATAATAAAAACGGGTGGGCTTAGGAGTAACATCTTACATATTTGTTATCATTGTTATATTTGCCATATAATAAAAATGTGCGGGCTTAGGAGTAACATCTAACATATTTGTTATTGTTATTATATTTGCCATATAATAAAAATGTGTCGGCTTAGGAGTAACATCTAACATATTTAACATTAAATGCATTTTGTCAAAGCAGGTTTAGCATTCAAGCTGTATATGGAAAAATCATCATGATATGAAAAATGAAAATGAATGCCATATAATAAAAATGTGTGGGCTTAGGAGTGACATCTAACATATTTGTTATTATTGTTATATCTGCCATATAATAAAAATGTGTGGGCTTAGGCGTAACATCTAACGTATTTGTTATTATTGTTATATTTGCCATATAATAAAAATATGTGGGCTTAGGAGTAACATCTAACATATTTTTTATTATTCTTATGTTTGCCATATAATAAAAATGTGTGGGCTTCGGAGTAACAGCTAACATATTTGTTATTGTTGTTATATTTGGCATATAATAAAAATGTGTCGGCTTAGGAGTAACATCTAACATATTTGTTGTTGTTGTTATATTTGCCATATAATAAAAATGTATCGGCTTAGGAGTAACATCTAACATATTTGTTGTTGTTGTTATATTTGCCATATAATAAAAATGGGTGGGATTAGGAGTAACATCTAACATATTTGTTATTATTCTTATGTTTGCCATATAATAAAAATGTGTGGGCTTAGGAATAACATCTAACATATTTGTTATTATTGTTTTATTTGCCATATAATAAAAATGGGTGGGCTTAGGAGTAACATCTAACATATTTTTTATTATTCTTATGTTTGCCATATAATAAAAATGTGTGGGCTTCGGAGTAACAGCTAACATATTTGTTATTGTTGTTATATTTGCCATATAATAAAAATGGGTGGGATTAGGAGTAACATCTAACATATTTGTTATCATTGTTATATTTGCCATATAATAAAAATGTATCGGCTTAGGAGTAACATCTAACATATTTGTTATTGTTGTTATATTTGGCATATAATAAAAATGTGTCGGCTTAGGAGTAACATCTAACATATTTAACATTAAATGCATTTTGTCAAAGCAGGTTTAGCATTCAAGCTGTATATGGAAAAATCATCATGATATGAAAAATGAAAATGAATGCCATATAATAAAAATGTGTGGGCTTAGGAATAACATCTAACATATTTGTTATTATTGTTTTATTTGCCATATAATAAAAATGTGTCGGCTTAGGAGTAACATCTAACATATTTGTTACTATTGTTATGTTTGCCATATAATAACAACGGGTGGGCTTAGGAGTAACATCTTACATATTTGTTATCATTGTTATATTTGCCATATAATAAAAATGGGTGGGCTTAGGAGTAACATCTAACATTTGTTATTATTGTTATATTTGCCATATTATAAAAATTTGTGGGCTTAGGAGTAACATCTAACATATTAGTTATTATTGTTATATTTGCCATATAATAAAAATATGTGGGCTTAGGAGTAACATCTAACATATTAGTTATTATTGTTATATTTGCCATATAATAAAAATGTATCGGCTTAGGAGTAACATCTAACATATTTAACATTAAATGCATTATGTCAAAGCAGGTTTAGCATTCAAGCTGTATATGGAAAAATCATCATGATATGAAAAATGAAAATGAATGCCATATAATAAAAATGTGTGGGCTTAGGCGTAACATCTAACGTATTTGTTATTATTGTTATATTTGCCATATTATAAAAATTTGTGGGCTTAGGAGTAACATCTAACATATTTGTTATCATTGTTATATTTGCCATATAATAAAAATGTATCGGCTTAGGAGTAACATCTAACATATTTAACATTAAATGCATTTTGTCAAAGCAGGTTTAGCATTCAAGCTGTATATGGAAAAATCATCATGATATGAAAAATGAAAATGAATGCCATATAATAAAAATGTGTGGGCTTAGGAGTGACATCTAACATATTTGTTATTATTGTTATATCTGCCATATAATAAAAATGTGTGGGCTTAGGAATAACATCTAACATATTTGTTATTATTGTTATATCTGCCATATAATAAAAATGTGTGGGCTTAGGAGTAACATCTAACATATTTGTTATTGTTGTTATATTTGCCATATAATAAAAATGTGTCGGCTTAGGAGTAACATCTAACATATTTAACATTAAATGCATTTTGTCAAAGCAGGTTTAGCATTCAAGCTGTATATGGAAAAATCATCATGATATGAAAAATGAAAATGAATGCAGATAAACCTACCAGATATATAAATGGTAACGGTTGCCTCTTAGTGTACCAATTCGAGTGACATTAACTTTTATTTTAAGGAGGATTTTATGTTGTCAACCCCCCAGAGTGGTTGTGGTGGTGTAAATACCTTGCCTTTTTCCACTACCCCTCGGCCGCGACACTGACGTACCTAATGTCAGATATCCCTCCTGTGTGGTAAGTAAATGCCATAAAAAAACCCACTCCTCGGCCGTGACACTGACGTACCTAATGTCAGATATCCCTTCTATGTGGTAAGTAAATGCCATATAAACCCCCCCTCCTCGGCCGCGACACTGACGTACCTAATGTCAGATATCCCTTCTATGTGGTAAGTAAATGCCATATAACCCCCCACTCCTCGGCCGCGACACTGACGTACCTGATGTCAGATATCCCTCCTGTGTGGTAAGTAAATGCGATAAAAAAACCCACTCCTCGGCCGTGACACTGACGTACCTAATGTCAGATATCCCTCCTATGTGGCAAGTAAATGCCATATAAACCCCCACTCCTCGGCCGTGACACTGACGTACCTAATGTCAGATATCCCTTCTATGTGGTAAGTAAATGCCATATAAACCCCCCCTCCTCGGCCGCGACACTGACGTACCTAATGTCAGATAACCTTCCTATGTGGTAAGTAAATGCCATATAAACCCCCACTCCTCGGCCGTGACACTGACGTACCTAATGTCAGATATCCCTCCTATGTGGCAAGTAAATGCCATATAAACCCCCACTCCTCGGCCGCGACACTGACGTATCTAATGTCAGATATACCTCCTGTGTGGTAAGTAAATGCCATATAAACCCCGACTCCTCGGCCGCGACACTGACGTACCTAATGTCAGATATCCCTCCTGTGAGGTAAGTAAATGCCATATAAACCCCGACTTCTCGGCCGCGACACTGACGTACCTAATGTCAGATAACCCTCCGGTGTTGTAAGTAAATGCCATATAAACCCCACTCCTCGGCTGCGACACTGACGTACCTAATGTCAGATAACCCTCCTGTGTGGTAAGTAAATGCCATATAAACCCAACTCCTCGGCCGTGACACTGACGTACCTAATGTCAGATATCCCTCCTGTGTGGGAAGTAAATGCCATAAAAAAACCCACTCCTCGGCCGTGACACTGACGTACCTAATGTCAGATATCCCTTCTATGTGGTAAGTAAATGCCATATAACCCCCCACTCCTCGGCCGCGACACTGACATACCTAATGTCAGATAACCCTCCTGTGTGGTAAGTAAATGCCATATAAACCCCACTCCTCGGCCGCGACACTGACGTTCCTAATGTCAGATAACCCTCCTGTGTGGTAAGTAAATGCCATATAAACCCAACTCCTCGATGTCAGATAATCCTCCTGTGTGGTAAGTAAATGCCATATAAACCCAACTCCTCGATGTCAGATAATCCTCCTGTGTGGTAAGTAAATGCCATATAACCCCCCACTCCTCGGCCGCGACACTGACATACCTAATGTCAGATAACCCTCCTGTGTGGTAAGTAAATGCCATATAAACCCAACTCCTCGATGTCAGATAATCCTCCTGTGTGGTAAGTAAATGCCATATAAACCCAACTCCTCGATGTCAGATAATCCTCCTGTGTGGTAAGTAAATGCCATATAAACCCAACTCCTCGATGTCAGATAATCCTCCTGTGTGGTAAGTAAATGCCATATAAACCCCCACTCCTCGGCCGCGACACTGACATACCTAATGTCAGATAACCCTCCTGTGTGGTAAGTAAATGCCATATAAACCCCCGCTTCTCGGCCGCGACACTGACGTACCTAATGTCAGATATCCCTCCTGCGTGGTAAGTAAATGCCATATTAACCCCCACTCCTCGGCCGCGACACTGACGTACCTAATGTCAGATATCCCTCCTGTGTGGTAAGAAAATGCCATATAAACCCCACTCCTCGCCCGCGACACTGGCGTACCTTATGTCAGATAACCCTCCGGTGTGGTAAGTAAATGCCATATAAACCCCACTCCTCGGCCGCGACACTGACGTATCTAATGTCAGATATCCCTCCTGTGTGGTAAGTAAATGCCATATAAGCCCCACTCCTCGGCCGCGACACTGACGTACCTAATGTCAGATATCCCTCCTATGTGCTAAGTAAATGCCATATAAACCCAACTCCTCGGCCGTGACACTGACGTACCTAATGTCAGATATCCCTCCTGTGTGGAAAGTAAATGCCATATAAACCCCCCACTCCTCGGCCGCGACACTGACGTACCTAATGTCAGATATCCCTCCTGTGTGGTAAGTAAATGTCATTTAAACCCCCAACCCTCGACACTACATTGACGTACCGGTAGTCAGATAAATCTCCTGCGTGGTACATTGTAAGTTATGACTTTATCCTGCTAGATAACCCCTTCGCCCCTTCACTGACGTACCGGTACCGATGATAGATATCCCTCCTTTGTAGTAAGTAAATGACTTTATCCTTCTATATTACCCCTCCCTCCTACACTGACGTACCCGATGTCAGATATTCCTCTTTTGTGGTAATTAAATGTCTTTATCCTGCTATATTACCCCTCCGCCCATACATTGACGTACCCGATGTCAGATATCCCTCCTTTGTGGTAAGTAGATGACTTTATCCTGCTATATTACCCCTCCGCCCATACACTGACGTACCTGTTGTCAGATATCCCTCCTGTGTAATAAGTTATGGGTTTGTCCTGCTATATTACCACGCCGCCCCTACACTGACGTACCTGTTGTCAGATACCCCTTCTTTGTGGTAATTAAATGACTTTATCCTGCTATATTACCCCTCCGCAGCTACAATGACGTACCCGATGTCAGATATTCCTCCTTAGTGGTAATTAAATGACTTTATCCACCTAAATCACCCCTCCGCCCATACATTGACGTACCCGATGTTAGATAGTCCTCCTTTGTGGTAAGTTATGGGTTTATCCTGCTATATTTCCCCTCGGCCCATACATTGACGTACCCGATGTCAGATAGACCTCCTTTGTGGTAAGTTATGGGTTTATCCTGCTATATTCCCCCTCCGCAGCTACAATGACGTACCCGATGTCAGATATTGCTCCTTAGTGGTAATTAAATGACTTTATCCCCCTAAATCACCCCTCCGCCCATACATTGACGTACCCGATGTCAGATAGACCTCCTTTGTGGTAAGTTATGGGTTTATCCTGCTATATTTCTCCTCCGCCCATACATTGACGTACCCGATGTCAGATAGACCTCCTTTGTGGTAAGTTATGGGTTTATCCTGCTATATTACCCCTCCGCAGCTACAATGACGTACCCGATGTCAGATATTACTCCTTAGTGGTAATTAAATGACTTTATCCACCTAAATCACCCCTCCGCCCCTACATTGACGTACCCGATGTCAGATAGTCCTCCTTTGTGGTAAGTTATGGGTTTATCCTGCTATATTTCTCCTCCGCCCATACATTGACGTACCCGATGTCAGATAGTCCTCCTTTGTGGTAAGTTATGGGTTTATCCTGCTATATTTCCCCTCCGCCCATACATTGACGTACCCGATGTCAGATAGTCCTTTGTGGTAAGTAAATGACTTTATCCACCTAAATCACCCCTCCGCCCATACATTGACGTACCCGATGTCAGATAGTCCTCCTTTGTGGTAAGTTATGGGTTTATCCTGCTATATTACCCCTCCGCAGCTACATTGACGTACCTGTTGTCAGATATCTCTCCTTTACGTACCACAAAGAAGGGATAACTGACATCGAGTTCGTCAATGTAGGGGCGGAGGGCTAAAATAGCAGGATAAACCCATAACTTGCCACACAGGAGGGATATCTGACATTAGGTACGTCAGTGTCGCGGTACGTAAAGGAGAGATATCTGACAACAGGTAAGTCAATGTAGCTGCGGAGGGGTAAGATAGCAGGATAAACCCATAACTTGCCACACAGGAGGGATATCTAACAACAGGTAGGTCAGTGTAGGGGCGGCGGGGGAAAATATGACTCTATCCTGCTATATTACCACTCCGCCCCTACACTGACGTACCTGTTGTCAGATCTCTCTCCTTTACGTACCACCAAGAAGGGATAACTGACATCTAGTTCGTCAATGTAGGGGCGCAGGGCTAATATAGCAGGATAAACCCATAACTTGCCACACAGGAGGGATATCTGACAACAGGTACGTCAATGTAGCTGCTATATTACCCCTCCGCCCCTACATTGACGAACTCGATGTCAGGTTTTTTTTGCGAATTCGAGATATATATTGAGAACATTTTTTTATAAACAACAATTTAAAATTTCTCATTTCAATCCATTTTTGCTGTTTTTCGATTAATCGCAATTTTCAATAATTATTTGAAATGACATTTTTTGACAACCTCATCTTGCAGTGTCCTGTCAAATCTTATAAACTTATAAACTGACATTTTAATAGGTAAGATATTACTATAGAAATTATCGCATATTTTGTGAGCAGAAGAAAGGATTTTAGACACTTGAATTTTGTTTATACATCTATCCAGAATGAATTAAACACTACTTTTTTGCAGGTGTAATCAGACCAGTGTCAACATTTACCCACAATGCATTGACAATGGGAACTTAACCCTAACATCACGTGATGTCCTGAATGGATTAGGAATTGAACATCCGGTATATTTCTATGTTACGATTATGGCAATGACTTTTGGTGTTTTTCGGACCTGTGGCTACTTTGTGTTGAGATTGAAGAAAATCTGAAGACAATCCCTCAGTCAAACAAGAGGCCCATGGGCCTAAACGGTCACCTGAGTCTACAGTATTTATTTTTGTTGTTGAAATATGTACCAATTTGAGTAAAAAATAGTATAATGTTAACTTAACTTTGTCAGGACCATGAGCTGATCATTCCTAGACCAATTTTAAGTGAGATCGGCCTATTAGAACTTAGTAGCAAAATAGCGGCCATGGCAGCCAAATTGTATTTCTGATTGACCCGAAAAATAACAACACTTTGTCAGGACCATGATTCGATCATTCCTACAAAGTTTCAGTTCAATCGGCCAAGTAGATCTTTACTTTAAGTTTGAAATAGTTTTCCAAAATGGCAGCCGTGGTGGCCATATTGGATTTCTGATCGACCC